GGCCAAGAAGATAAATGCCCTGTTCCCCAAAGAACCATTCAAGGTGTACTCCCAACTGCAGCGCAACAACACAGTAACAGCAGAGAACCAACAGCAGAAACTGGAAGAACATGTGGGACAAAGAGAAGACACATAACACCAGTGCAAAGTGGCTGGAGGACCTGAGAAAAGATCACAGCAATCTCCCAGAACAGGAACCAGTCACCATCACAGTAGCAGATATCCAACTGCGGGTCAAGAACATTCTAATTTATTTATTTATTTATTAAATTTTTATCCTGCCTTTATTATTTTTTATAAATAACTCAAGGCAGTGAACATACATAATACTCCTTCCTCCTCCTTTTTTCTCCACAACAGCAACCCTGTGAGGTTGGGCTGAGAGAGAGTGACTGGCCCAAAGTCACCCAATCGGGTTTCACGCCTAAGGTGGGACTAGAACTCACAGTCTCCTGGATTCTAGACTGGTGCCTTAACCATTAGACCAAACTGGCTCTCTATGTGAAACGTTGGACAGCATCTGGCCCAGAAGATCCACGACTACTGGCTAAAGAAACTAACAGCAGTGCATGAACGCCTAGCAGCACAGATGAGCCAGCTCCTAGCAGCAGGCTCCCACCCAGACTGGCTAACACAAGGAAGGACACTGATGATCATGAAAGGCCCCCACAAGGGAAAAGCACCATCCAACTACCAGCCAATAACCTGCCTCCCCACATGGAAAGCCCTATCAGGCATCACAGCCGCCAAGCTATAGGACCACATGGGCCAGTACATGAGCACAGCTCAGAACAGCATTGGGAACAACACCAGAGGCTCAAAACACCAGTTGCTCATAGATAGAGCAGTCGCCCAAGACTCAAGATCTAGACAGACCAATCTGAGCTCAGCCTGGATTGACTACAGGAAACCCTACGACTCAGTGCCACAAACACAGATCTGTGAATGCCTGGTGCTATACAAAGTCAACAGGACACTAAGGACCTTCCTCAAGAACTCAATGGGACTGTGGAAAACAACACTGGAAGCCAATTCAAGACAGCTCACACAAGTGGCCATCAAGTGCGGCATATTCCAAGGTGATGCACTATCCCCACTGCTGTGCTGCATAGACTTGAACCCCCTCAGCCAGATAATCACAAGGACTGGATATGGATACAAGTTCAAGAGTGGAAATACCATCAGCCACCTCTCTACATGGAAGACATC